GAGAGGAGGGAAGGAAAGAAAGAGGGAAGGAAGGAAGGAAAAGAGGGAGAGAGAAAGAGAGGGAGGGACAGAGAGAAAGAGAGGAAGGAAGGAAAGAAGGAAGAGAGGGAGGGACAGAGAGGAAGGAAAGAGGGAAGGAAGGAAAAGAGGGAGAGAGCAAGAGAGGGAGGGACAGAGAGGAAGGAAAGAGGGAAGGAAGGAAAAGAGGGAGAGAGAAAGAGAGGGAGGGACAGAGAGGAAGGAAAGAGGGAAGGAAGGAAAAGAGGGAGAGAGAAAGAGAGGGAGGGACAGAGAGGAAGGAAGGAAAGAAAGAGGGAAGGAAGGAAGGAAAAGAGGGAGAGAGAAAGAGAGGGAGGGACAGAGAGAAAGAGAGGAAGGAAGAAAAGAAGGAAGAGAGGGAGGGACAGAGAGGAAGGAAGGAGGGAAGGAAGGAAAAGAGGGAGAGAGCAAGAGAGGGAGGGACAGAGAGGAAGGAAAGAGGGAAGGAAGGAAAAGAGGGAGAGAGAAAGAGAGGAAGGAAGGAAAGAAGGAAGAGAGGGAGGGACAGAGAGGAAGGAAAGAGGGAAGGAAGGAAAAGAGGGAGAGAGCAAGAGAGGGAGGGACAGAGAGGAAGGAAAGAGGGAAGGAAGGAAAAGAGGGAGAGAGAAAGAGAGGGAGGGACAGAGAGAAAGAGAGGAAGGAAGGAAAGAAGGAAGAGAGGGAGGGACAGAGAGGAAGGAAAGAGGGAAGGAAGGAAAAGAGGGAGAGAGAAAGAGAGGGAGGGACAGAGAGGATAGGAAGGAAAGAAATAAGGAAGGAAGGAAAAGAGGGAGAGAGCAAGAGGGAGGGACAGAAAGAGAGGAAGGAAGGAAAGAAGGAAGAGAGGGAGGAAGGAAAAGAGGGAGGGACAGAGAGGAGGAAGGAAGGGTCTGAAAATGAATTGGCGTACATGGCCTGTAAGTAGCCTGATCTTCTCAGATTAAAGAAGCTAAGCAGGGTCAGTATTTGGATGGGAGACCACCACCAAGGATGCCCAGGGTTGCGACGCAGAGGCAGGCAGTGGCAAAACCACCCCTGAGCGTCTCCTGCCTTGACCAGGGGTCACCATAAGTCAGCTGCGACTCAATGGCAATATAATAATTTTGCGTGGACAGGAGTGTCTTCCTAAAAGAAGATCCCTGGACGTTGGAGGAAGGCTCCACAAATCAGCTAAGACTGGAGCTTTCCTTCAGACTGGGGAGAAGCTTCAGACTTGAGCCCAAAGGGAACATCATCATCATCAACATCATAGATTGGATTCATACCCTGCCCTTCGCTCAGAGTCTCAGAGCGGCTCAAAAACTCCTTTCCCTTCCCCTCCCCACAACAGACACCCCGTGAGGTAGGTGAGGCCGAGAGAGCTCTGACAGAAACTGCCCTTGAGAGAACAGCTCTGACAGAACTACGGCTTGCCCAGGGTCATCCAGCCAGGTGCAAGTGGAGGAGTGGGGAATCAAACCCGGTTCCCCCAGATTAGAGTCCGCGCACTTAACCACTACACCAGACTGGCTCTACCGGACTCGTACTACCGGACTCGAGTCTTGCTGCTTCGATACACACCGGTATATTTTCTTTATCCCTGGAACTGCTTCCTTCGTCTCGCCGAAATCCTCTCTCCTTTTTTAAAAAAAAAAACATGTAAGTTTTGAATTCCGGATCTTCCACAGCAGACGACCGTGACACTGGAGCCCGCCCTCAGCCCCGGGCGGCCTTTCTAAACCCGCTTTATGTTTTGTGCTGAGAAACAAAATGTAAAATCCACCCAAATGCAAACTGATCCCAGACCTCTCCGTCATGCCCGGAGCTCGTGGGATTCGTGTTGATTTCTCGCTGGATTTCATACGCCCTTCCGAAGCCGAAAACTGGAAACATGTTGTGGTAGAACTTCCAGCTGAGATTTCTAGCGTGGAGGATGGAAAGAGCAGAACCAATGGTGAGGGGAGCGTGTGGTGGAGGAAAAGACTCCTGGAGCCAACAAAGGAGGGGCCTGGAGCCCTGCCAGGCAATTTTCCTTTGCACCCTTGAGTCATAGAGTTGGAAGGGACCTCCAGGGTCATCTAGTCCAACCCCCTACACAATGCAGGGAATTCACAAATACCTCCTCCCCACACCCCCAGTGGCCCCTGCTCCAACCAGTTTGGTGTCGTGGTTAAGTGCGCGGACTCTAATCTGGGAGAAAACCCGGGTTTGATTCCCCACTCCTCCACTTGCAGCTTCTGGATGTCCTTGGGCAAGCCACAGTTCTGTCAGGGCTGTTCTCTCAAGGACAGTTCTTAGAATCATAGAATGTTAGAGTTGGAAGGGACCTTCCAGGTCATCTAGTCCAACCCCCTGCACTCTGTAGGAGCACAGCCAAAAGATAGCCCTACATGCCTACAACATACCCGAAAGGTGGTCGTCCAGCCTCCGCTTGAAAACGTCCAGCGAAGGAGCATCCACCACCTCCCGAGGCAGCCTGGTCCACTGCTCAACCACTCTGACAGTTAGGAAGTTTCTCCTGATATTTAGCCGGTATCGACTCCCTTGTAATTTCTACCCATTAGATCTAGTCTTGCAATCCGGAGCAAGAGGGAATAGATCTTCTACATGACAGCCCTTCAGATATTTGAAGACTGCAATCCTGTCCCCGCTAAGCCTTCTCTTTCCCAGGCTAAACATACCCAACTCTTTCAGCCTTTCCTCATAAGACTTGGATTCCTACCCTCTCACCATCCTGTTGCCCTCTTCTGGACACGCTCAAGCTAACTCATGAATCATAGAATGTTAGAGTTGGAAGGGACCTTGCAGGTCATCTAGTCCAACCCCCTGCACACTGCAGGAGCATAGCCGAGAGATAGCCCTACATACCTACAACATACCCGGAGCAAGAGAGAATAGATCCGCTCCATCTTCTACATGACAGCCCTTCAGATACTTGAAGACTGCAATCCTGTCCCCTCTAAGCCTTCTCTTTCCCAGGCTAAACATACCCAGCCCTTTCAGCCTTTCCTCATAAGACTTGGATTCCAGCCTCTCACCATCCTGGTTGCCCTCTTGATAGAGCATCAGAGGGGAAGCATCATGGTAGCAAACCAGGCCTGCGGGATCCAGTCCGTATTTTTAACGTCGCTTGTTTCGGCAGCCTTATTCCTTTGTGTGTCTTCCAGGACCCGGTGCTAGCGACTCCGCTGGCCACCCCGCAAGCCACCCCCCCTCCGTCGCCGCCACCACCTCTACGAGAACCATCACCAGTGAGGACGCCAGAGCCCTCTCCCCCCACCACTGAAATGGGCGATGAGGTCGACAGATGGCAGCTAACGGCGGCGACAGGTATCTCTTCGGATTCCAAGAGTGGAGTCTTTACGGGCAAGGTTATACCTGGGCAGCAGTGGGCATCCCCCGCCTGCAGCCGGTCCCAGGCTCAGTTCTCCGGCCTCCCTAGTTTATACAAACTTGTTGAAGGAAGGTTTGATAGACGAATGGATCCCCCCGAAGAAGCCCGTTGGTGAAATGCGTAGGGAATTTTTAGCCGAGTAATATTTTTTTTTTAACTTTGCTTGCTGAGATTTAGCCTTTTTGCTTTGAAGTATCTGGCGTTTTTCTTTCCCCAAAAGAGGTCTTAATAGGCAGTGGGATGCCAGCCCCAAACACACACACACACACACACACACACACACACAAACTCCACAGCTGTAAACTCCCCAAATTCTTCCATCACTACACACATGAACATACACAAAGCTGCCTTCTACCATCGGTCCGTCAAGGTCTGTATTGTCTACTCAGACTGGCAGCAGCTCTCCAGGGTCTCAGGCGGAAGTCTCTTACATCACCTCCTGCCTGGTCCTTTTAACTGGAGATGCCGGGGATTGAACCTGGGACCTTCTGCATGCCAAGCAGAGGCTCTATACTCAATCAGACCCTTGGTCCATCATGGTCAGTACTGTCTTCTCAGATGGGCAGCAGCTCTCCAGGGTCTCAGGCGGAAGTCTCTTACATCACCTCCTGCCTGGTCCTTTTAACTGGAGATGCCGGGGATTGAACCTGGGACCTTCTGCATGCCAAGCAGGTGCTCTGCCACTGAGCCACAGCCCCTCCCCATTCGGTACATCATCCAAATCTTGATACTTACATTATTTATGCTCCACCTTTCTCACTGAGCCTTAAGGTGGATTACACAGTGCAGATCAAATGCAGTCAATGGGATGGGACTTCCCATAAGCAGTGTAATAGTATTTGGATTGCAGAAATCTGAAAACGAAGCTGACACTTGGGGCCAGGATTCCTCCTTGCCTCATTTTAGAGCAAGTAGGGGAACCGGTTTCTTTTGCCACCTCGTTTTCTTGCAGATAGACGGCCACACACATAGCCAGTTTGGTGTAGTGGATAAGAGTGCGGACTCTAATCTGGGGGAATGGGGTTTGATTCCCCACTCCTCCACATGCATCCAGCTGGGTGACCTTGGGTCAGTCACAAGTTCTTTCAGAGCTGTTCTCTCATGAGCAGTTCTGGAACGAGCTCTCTCAGCCCCCCCTACCTCACAGGGTGTCTGTTGTGGGGAGGGAAAGGGAAAGGCGATGGTGAGCCACTCTGAGACTCCTTCAGGTAGCGAAGGGTGGGGTATAAAGCTAATCTTCTCCTCCTCTTCTCTTCTTCTTCTTCTTCATGCCCCATCCACTTTTAGTGGCACCCCTAGTCCTCATTACGGCCTGCAGTGTCACATACCTAGCAAAGCAAGCATGGAGCCTGCTACATCTGCCTTAACTAAAGCAAGAGCCTGAAGAGCGGCGTGGCTCAGTGGTAGAGCCTCTGCTTGGCATGCAGAAGGTCCCAGGTTCAATCCCCGGCATCTCCAGTTGAAAGGACCAGGCACCGGGTGATGGGAAAGACCTCTGCCTGAGACCCCGGAGAGCTGCTGCCAGTCTGAGTAGACAATACTGACTCTGATGGACCGAGGGCCTGATTTAGTATAAGGTGCTTTTGTGTGTAATGGAATTCCTTTCCCTCTTTTCTTTTCGGATGTGCGTAGAACCAAAGGCAGCGGCCATCAGCCCGGTTCGCACCCCTGCTGTTACCCCAGCGGCGACTCCGCCTGGGGTGGCGACGCCGAGCCCTCCCGTGTCCGAGCGCATCCCTAGCAGAGAAGCGACAGAGGGACGCCAGCCTCCAAATGCGTGGGGGGATGCTGAGCTGCCCCTGGAGGAAGAGAAGCCCAGCCCGCAGAGCGAAGAAGGGGGCTACGACCCCAGAGCAGTGTGAGTCATCTCTGGGTGCTTCTTATTTCTTTCTTTATTGGGGCATTTCTTATTTGGGGGAGCCCAAATGGCTTACAAAATGATAAAATGGGAAAGCGATACACTGGAACAGCAAAATACTATCACTATGAGTCTTTTAGCGACAAGCGTTATCTTTTCGTAACCTGTAGCATCATGTCAGTGGCTAAAGACGAGGAGCCAGAGAATTTGGTGTTGCCGCCGTCTCCGCAGCCCACGCAGCCTCCTGACCCACTTCTTCAAGAACCCCCGATCCCGTCTTCTCCGGCACGTACTCCCAGTTCCGGCTCGTCCACAGAGGAGAGCAGTCTGACCGTCACGGAAACGGAGACTGTGGACAGACCGATCTCCGAAGGAGAGGTCCTTTTTAGCTATGGACAAATGGTAGCCATGAAAGGTGAGCTGGCTCCCAGGAGAGGTGGGCTGGCCCTTTACTTTACCGGGCAAGTTCTGGGTGGTGGTGGGGGCGCCGTCATGGAGGGCCACTGGTGGCCAGAGTGGGCTGAGCCTAGGGGGCCCATGTGGTGCTGGGTCTGCTTTGGACCAGCATAGGCTCACTGACGGGAGACTGTAGGATTCTGCGGTGGGCCACCTTGGACTGTGAAGGGTTGCCAACCTCCAGGGGCTGCCTGGAGACTGCCTAGTATCACAACCAGTGTTCCCTCTAAGCTGAGTTAGTGTGAGCCAGCTCACCATTTTTTAGCCTCCGGCTCACACATTTTTGTCTTAGCTCAGGAGGGATGGCTCCAGAGCAGACTAATTTATACAGTAGCCAAATCACTTGCTCACAACTTTAATGCCAGTAGCTCAGAAAGTAGAATTTTTGCTCACAAGACTCCACAGCTTAGAGGGAACATTGATCACAACTGAACTCCAGACGACAGAGATCAGTCCCCCTCCCCCCCCGGAGAAAATAGCTGCTTCAGAGGGTGAGCTCTGCAGCATTATATACCAATGAGCCCCCTCCCCGAACCCGGCCTTCCCCAGGCTCCACCCCCCAAAATGTCCAGGTATTTCCCAACCCAAAGGCGACAGCCTTAATTTGTTGTTCAGTCGTACAGTTGAGTTCGACTCTTTGCAACCCCATGGCCCGGCTCCCGCCAGGCCCTCCGGTCTTCCGCCGTCCTCTGAAGTTGGCTCAATTTCATGTTCGTTGCATCGATGACACTGTCTAACCATCTCATCCTTTGCCGTCCCCGTCTTCTTTGACCTTCAGTCTTCCTTAATACTGCCCCATATTTAAAAATCAAACCACGGCACAGCATGGGCTTCTGCAGTGAAGATTTGCTCTGGGCTTCAATTGCCCTCAACGATAACGTCATGTAGCTATATCTGATTGGCCGAGCAATACCGTGATGTCATCACGTTCTTTATGTGGTTGGCCGGGATCATTTCGTGGAGCAGTCCAAGGCACATCCCCCGATAACGACTTCTGCCTCCACATTCCTTAACAGGATAGTATGATCTACTTTATTGAGTGCTCGAGATAAATCCAGTGTACCACAGAGAGGCCTGGCCTTCATCTACACGCAGACGGAGGTCATCAGCTAGAGCCAACAGGAGCCGTCTCTGTCCCATAGCCTGGCCGGAAACCAGATTGAAAAGGGTCCAGAGCAGATGAGTTATCCAAGAAGATCCGGAGTTGATCTTCTAGTGCTCTCTCAGTCACTTTCCCCGGGAATGGCAGATTAGAGATCCGGCAATAATTGGCCACATCGTTTTTCTGTAGGGATGGCTTTTCAAGTAGTGGGCAGATAACCTCCTTTTCGAGTGGCTGAGGAAAGGTGCCCTGAGTTAGTGACTGATCTATATAAGATCAAGATGGGTCGCTGTGTTAGTCTGTAGCAGTAGAAAAGAGCCAGGAGCACCTTAAAGTAACAAAATCTGTGGCAGAGGAGGAGCTTTTGTGAGTCACCACTCAGTTCTTTGTAGACTTTGTCTAGGGTTCAAATCACGACACCACACACAACAGATTTCTCGAAGCTACAGATCAGCTCTGTCTCTCTCTCTGTACCAAGCTCCCTGTTCTTTCGACAGGCTGTGTCACAGCAGCGTTTTATTAGAGGGGAAAAGCAAGCTTACACAAGGCACAGTGAAAAATGTTACAGTTAGAAGCTTCTAACTAGGATCACACTGTGTTCTTCTCACAGGCAAGATTATCTTTGAATGTTGCAAAGACTGTTCTCTCAGTAATTCATTGTGCTTTTAGTAATTCATCAGACTTATGCAGACTCAGAAAAAGATTGTGCCCTGCTTGCCAATCTCTCGTTGCCAGTCTCCCTGTGAAAACAGGAGCCTCTCCCTGTGAAAACAGGAGCCTCTCCGGGTGTGCCTCGCAGAGATTTTCCTATTCCCACAGTTCTTCAGATACTCATCAGATGTTCTTCAGACTGAGTACTGAATCAGGCTCAAGGTTCAAAGGCCTAAATGGTCTGGGACCATCGTATCTGTGGGACCGCCTCTCGCTGTACACCGCTCAGAGCCCATCGCACTCAACTTGCAACAGCTTACCGGTGGTCCCTTCCCCCAGAATGGTCTGGGTGCCCTCGACCAGGGCCGGGCCTGGCCCCAATCTGGTGGAACTCTCTATTTGGTGAAACTTGAGCCCTGCGGGACTTGGCTCGGTTCCGCAGGGCCCGTAAGGCTGCGATGTTCCACTGGACATGCAGCTGAGGACGGTGGCAACTGGAAAGACCACCTGGCTTCCCCATCGTTGAGTCATGAATCTCCCTGTAGCGGCGGCCCCTTTAGTTATCCACCGTTGAAGATTTGTTGGGGCACCATCTGATATGATACGATAGAATGACTCTTTAAGTTTTAACTGTAAGGTCTGGTTTTATAATTGTGATTCTGATCTTTTGTATTTTATTGTATTTAATTGTTGGAAGCTGCCCTGAGCCCTGCCTGGGGGCGAAAGGAGCGGGATAAAAATTGAATGAATGAATGAATGAATGAATGAATGAATGAATATCTGGGAAAAGTGAGCAGTGACTTACAAAAGCTCATATCCTGCTACAAATTTTGTTAGTCTTTAAGGTGCCACTGGACTCTTGCTCTTTTCTAGTGATTTATAATAGAAACTAAGGGTTTGTTGATGTGGTCCTTACATGATTTTCTCTGCCGGGGATCGATGGGCAAGGATCCAGAGTACAAGTAGTGACCTTCTGTCACGGCTCAGGTGGGGGTGTCACCTGACGCTGCCACCACTCTGGTTCCAGCCTCCCTCGAGAAGGCCCAGAGCACCCTCCCAAGACCTTCAGACCTACCTTTTGGCTGAATAACAGGCATGAGGACCAGGCAGAGTGAACAATGAGAATAGTTTATTTTATAAGAGGTCAAACAAACAAGGTGCGGAATTATAACAGTAAGTGGGTGAAAAGAAATCAAATGCCCTAACGCGTCTAAATATATACTGTCCCTAGCTCACTATCTGCAGTGGCCTGAGACTACTCGCCCTTCCCTCAGGATGAGGGTTTCTTCCTGCAGCAGCCTCCCTTGTGACTCTGCCCCCTGGAAGAAAGAACAGCTTCTGTTCTGGCACCAGCCCTTTTGTTCCCCAGCCCTCTTCTTCCCTATTGGTCAATTTTGGCTCCAAAACCTCTCAGGGGCTTCTGGGAGTTGTAGGCCCAGCCTCACCTACTGCTAGCCAGGCTCCCTGGGCCTAGTAGGCCTCTGGTGGCACAGCCCAGATCATGACACCTTCACTGAACCCAGGATGTTACCGACATGCATCCTGGTAACTGGGTCAAAATGGTCCATAAGCAGGCGAGATGAAGTATGGAGCATTTCTCTTCTGCATGGCTCAAGCTGGCATCCAGATCAGAGTGTATCCGTGGGATTTTGTCAGCAGAAAGCTTTGTGATCACAGCTAATTGTCTGTTCCTGAGAATGGCGGTTTTTGTTTTTCTCTTCTCCCTCCAGCATTAGCAGGGGAAGCACTCTCCCTTCCAAACCTCAGCGACAGTTTGGCCAGCACTCTTCACGACGCCCATGAAATGGTAAGGAACTGGGCGATAGCCAGGGGACATTTCGTAGAAAAAGAGGTGCAGGAGCTCATTAGCATACCTCATTAGCATAACTTATTTGCATATGCCACACCCCCTGACGTCACCGGAAGTGTGTCAGAAGGCAACACCCCCACCGCTCAGGCTCCGCTGGACTGTTTTGGATTGCTAGCTATGGGTTGTGTGGGAACGGGACGTGCAGATCTGTCCTCGCAGAGGAGGGAGAGCTTGTACCTGAATGAAACTTGGTCTTAAAGGTGCCACTGGACTGTTTTGGACCGGGGGGCTGGGGGGGGCTCTGCAACTTACCTGGCTGCTTCTTGCTCTGACTGAGGGCTGCTGGGAGCAGGGGGTGGGGCTTGTCGCATGTGCCCGCCCCCTGGGCTCTTTACTGCCGGAGCTCCTCTCCTGCAGAAAATTACCCCTGGCGATAGCCAAAGGCAGTAGATTGCTAGTTGGAGGCCCTGGAGATAATGACCGCAGTTCCTTTAACTAGCAGACGAGCTGGGTGGTAACACAATCAAGAGCAGTCCTGGTGTGGTCTGGGATGCAGAATCTCGGAGAACCTGCGTTCGTTCTTCATTCTGTCTCCAGCCTTCCTGGTCTACAGTCCAGGAAGGCTGGGAGGGGCTGTGGCTGGGTACCTATGCTGCTCCCATGAACACACACAAAGATGCCACGTTGAGTCAGACTCTTGGTCCATCAAGGTCAGTCTTTTCTGCTCAGACTGGCAGCAGCTCTCCAAGGTCTCGGGCAGAGAGGTCTTTCGGATCACGTCCTGCCTGGTCCTTTTAAGTGGAAGATGCTAAGGGCTGAACCTGAGACCTTCAGCATGCCAAGCAGACGCTCTACGGCTGAGCCAGGGTCCCTCCCCTTGTCCAGATTGAGGAGAAACACGGGGAAGACAGCAGTGGCTGATGCCAAAAGTGACACGGCAGCTGCGACTGGGAGAAAAGGAGCCGACGGGATCTGCTAATCACAGGAGCAGCCGATGCCTCTACCTGTATTCCCAGCGATCACTCCTCAATCAAATGTCTTTTCTTCCATTAAGCACTCCAGAGCTTCAGGTTCCTCCCAGTTCTAAGAAGTGGATAATTTTCAACAAGTACTGTCTCTGCAGCCCTGACCTGGATGGCCCAGTCTAAACTGGTCTCGTCAGATCTTGGAAGCTAAGCGCAGTCAGCCCTGGGTAGTACTTGGATGGGAGACCACCTAGAAAGTCTGGGGTAGGGATGGGCACAACCCAGATTACGAACTGAAGTTCGTCATGAGCTGGGCCCAGTTTGTGGTTTGCAAACCTCGGTTTACATCACCCCACCCTCACGAGCCCCCACAAACTTCCCAGGTGGTTTTGTGTGGTTTGTGTCAGCAGACACGCTGGCACACCGGCGGTGGGGCTTGGAGCAGACATTTAGAGAGACCACCATCTCTTTAAATGTCTTCTCTAAGCCACGGTGGCATGACTCACAAATGAACTGGAAAGGCATTTGGCACAACTCAGTGAGTCAACTCGGAAGGTATTTAAATGCCTTCTCAGTTCACTTGTGAGTTGCGCTGCAGGGGCGGCACAACTCAGCAAGTCAGCTGAGAAGGCATGTAAATGCCTTCCCAGCTGGAAGCAGTTTCAGCAATCCCTTTAGCTCCCTCTCGCTTGGAAGTGAGGGGGGGGAGTGAAAGGGGTTGCTGAAACGGCTTGGGAGCCACCACCAGCAGAAAGGAGCGGGGGAGGTTCGTCCCGGTTGGTGGGACGTCACGAACTCGGACGAACCTCCATTTTCCTGGTTTGTGCCCATCCCTAGTCTCTGGGGTTTCTACACAGAGGCAGGCAATGGGCAAGCCACCCGTGAATACCTCTTGCTTTGAAAACCCCATGGGGGGGTGTCTCCATAAGTCAGCTGAGGCTTGGCAGTACTTTCCACGGCCACCTCTTTGTCCAAAGACTCAAGCATTATACAAAGGTCGCCCCTCTCTCTAAAGATGAGAGGGCTTTAGTGTCCCTCACTGCAAAGCATTCCGGGTCTCGCATGTGCTACGCTGCTGTTTCGTTTCAAGAGTCCGGGGCTTGGGATCATTAACCCCAGTAACAGACAGCACTGTCTTTTCCCCCCTGCATCCTTTAGGATTACGATCCTCCCAGTGAAGGCCAGGTGGTGCTCAGGCCCCGTAAAGGATACCACCGAGACCCGGTCCCGTCCCTCTTCTCAAAACTCCCCCAAGTGCCGCTCGCTTCCCAAGAAGACGTCTGTCATTCCGAGGTACCGGACTTCTTCGTTTTCGTGTGTAGAGATAAAACGGGTAATACCCAGTGATCCTATCCTTCTCTGCATGGGATTCCGGATTTTTTTAAAAGGGGAAATGTTTCAGTGGTTTCTGCTTCTGCAGTGAGACACCTTATCCTTTTTTCCCCCCTTTTGTAACGGCTGTGCAGTGGGAGAGAGCTGCTTGCTGTAATACCTTTTGCCTTACGTTTTTCCCTGCAGCACTGATGCAGCTGTGCGCTGGCTGAAATCCGGAATCGCGGACGTTGTCTTTCTCCCCAGCAGGGAGCTGCAGCCCTCTCCTGTTTCCTTTCAGCAGTCGCTGCTGCAGCTTCCATATGCTGCTGCTCCCCCACCCCCCAACCCCTTTTCTACTCACTGGAAGTCTGGCCTGAGATTGTCAGGGGTTCGTAATTCATAGCCCTGCAGACTGGGGAGGCACTCCTTTTTTTCTCCCTGGGTAGAACAGGAGTCCCCAATTTGGTGCCTGCAGGAACCATGTGCCGCTAACACCTTTCCCAGCACCCCCCAAGTGTTTTTAGGAAGTGGGTGGGGCTCCTGCCCAGCAGGACTTCTGATTGGCCATTTGAAATCTTTTTTTTTAAGTACCCAAGGGTACACATTTATTGATTTTCTTATATTCCTAAACACAGGCATAAACAACTACAACAAACAACATATAAACCAAGAGACTTGTTACAGTTTGTTACTACCCCTAATCCATCGCTTCATTATTCTCTAATATTTGTTAGTATTCTCTAATTCCATTATCATATATTACTACATACTCAAATATTATATATTATATAATATATAATATACTCAAATATTATTTTTGCCATATCAGCTTAGTCTTTAACTCCATTCACATTATACCAATCATATAGTCTCTTCCAGGTTTTTTGAAATGTCAATTTCTTCGTGCCTCTCATTTCCATAGTTAATTTATCTACTTCCGCCGCTTCTAAAAGTTTATTAATATATTCCTGTTTGGTTGGTGTTTCTCGAGTCTTCCAGCATTTGGCATATAATATCCTTGCCGCCGTTGACATGTATACAATCAGGTATCTATCAGTTTCCTAGAATTCTTTCGGGAAAATATTTAACAATAGCAACTCTGGGGTAAAGGGAATATTACGACTTATTAATTATGAAATCTGATTGGCTGGGCACATTAAAATAATACTGTTACCGGTGGCAGCCACCACTACAGTGTTGGTTTCTCATTGCTCTTTCCCAGCATGCTTTTTAAAATTACTCCTCTTGTCCCCTGCCCTTGGGCATCCTTTGCATGTGGCTCCGCCTCCTGTGGCAGCCATTTTGTGTTTTTTTGACATTTACTTTCGTTTTTTATTAATTTGTCAAACAAAAGGACAAAAATGAACAACCACCACTCAAGACGAATAAAGAAAGAAGAACCCTCTAAATTGCAAAACATGGAAATGAGATTACCCGGGGGGGGGGAGCCCGGGACCCACAAAATAAAAAGAGAAGACAATGTTGGATCAAATTATTGACAGAGAGCTTAATATTTAACATGCTTTTTAAAAAAATTATCCTACAAGATATAGCTAACAGAGAAAGTTAATAATGGCAAAGGGGATCTTTTTGAAGAGAATTCTTTGTATACTTTATACTTAATTCCTTTTCCATAATTTATGATTGGCTCCATCTCCCGTGGCGGCCACTTCATGGTTGCACCCATCATCTTGTATTAAAATTCTAAAGGGACTCACAAGCTCAAAAAAGTTGGGGACTCCCTGCCTTAGACGTTATGGGTATTTCCACCCCATAACACATTTGCTCTGCCATGTTAACTGGCCTGGGAATCCAAGGGATTGTCATGGACCAGCGTGCGGACACCTCCTCAGAGGAGGAGGCTGAAGACTCAGAGGAAGAGGGAGAGAGAAGAGAAGAGATGGGATTTATACCCCACCCTTCAAGACCCAAAGGTGTCTTGGAGCAGCTTACAAACTCCTTTCCCTTCCCCTCCCCACAACAGACTCCATGTGAGGTAAAAGAAGAACAAGGAGAGATTGGATTTATACCCCGCCCTTCACTACCCAAAGGTGTCTCAGAGTGGCTTACAAACTCCTTTCCCTTCCCTTCCCCACAGCAGACTCCCTGTGAGGTAAAAGAAGAAGAAGAGATTGGATTTATACCCCGCCCTTCACTACCCAAAGGAGTCTCAGAGAGGCTTACAAACTCCTTTCCCTTCCCCTCCCCACAACAGACACCCCTGTGAGGTAAAAGAAGAAGAAGAAGAGATTGGATTTATACCCCACCCTTCACTACCCAAGGGAGTCTCAGAGCGGCTGACAAACTCCTTTCCCTTCCCCTCCGCACAGCAGACACCCCTGTGAGGTAGGCGGGGCTAAGAGAGCTCTTGACAGAAACCTCTTTTTCAAGAACAGCTCTGAGAGAACTACGGCTTGCCCAAGGCCATCCAGAAGAAGAAGAGATTGGATTTATACCCTGTCCTTCACTACTCAAAGGTGTCTCGCAGCGGCTTACAAACTCCTTTCCCTTCCCCTCCCCACAACAGACACCCTGTGAGGCAGGTGGGGCTGAGAGAACTCTGACAGCAACTGCTCTTTTTTCAAGGACAGCTCTTATCAGAACTACAGCTTGCCCAAGGTCATCCAGCCAGGTGCATGTGGAGGAGTGGGGAATCAAACCCGGTTCTCCCAGGTTAGAGTCCGCGCCCTTAACCACTACACCAAACTGGAGCCACCACCGAGTGAAGCGGTTGGGATTCCTCCAGGACGCCCCTTTGATGTACAGGAAGAGCCCCAAGAGTCTGAGGCAGCCTCCTCCTCAGGAGGAAACGACTCTTGCCTTAAGTTTTATACTCAGGCCTGAACTAACAGCTCTCACTGTCAGGAAGTTCTTCCTAATGTTTACCCGAAAACTCTGTTTGATTTAATCTCAACCCGTTCAGTTCCCCTGGGGCAAATGGCTGCTTTGGAAGGCGGACCCTGCTCGGGCTCCGCCCCCAGAATCTCCCGCTTTTTCCCAACCCGGAGCTGGGGACCTATCTATGCAACACTGTTGGATTCAGCTCTGGCCTCAATCCTGTGCAGGACAGAGATCTGCGTACGAATAATTGTGAAGAGGCGTGGTTCAGGGGGCACTCAGCCCAGAGCTCAGTGCACCTTGTGTGGACAATGGCCAGAAGTGGGAGACTCTACTTCTCTCTTCTCTGCCACTCCCCTACACTTTCGTTCTTATCTCTTTCTTCCTCTCTGTTTCGTTTAGGACACTGACTACAGTGCTGGGGAACTTAGCGAGGGCCAGAGGCCCAGGCTGACCAAAGCGGTGGAGAGTATCCTGAGGGGACATCCCGTTGACGTGGACCGGTCCTCTGAGCAGCGGCTTCGGCAGGCGCCATTGCCCGGACACTTCAACAGAGCTGCAGGTGGGAGCTTACAAAAATTCTTCCTTGTACTTCAGTGCTGGAAACTGAGCTAGGGTTGCCAGGTTGGGCAGTACCTGGAGATTTGGGGGGGTGGAGCCTGACTGAGGTCAGGGCTGGGGGGTATAATGCCATGGAATCCACCTTCCAAGGCGGCCATTTTTCTCCAGGTGAGCTGATCTCTGTCACCTGCCGCAGGAAGTAGTGGTGGCTACAAGAATAGACAGCTTCAGGAGGGGACTGAACATACTTTGACCAGAGGTCCATCTGTGGCTATTAGCCGCAATGTATATATGGAACACTCTGTCTGGAGCAGTGCTTGGGGGGCAAGAGTGGGAGGACTCTGGAGTCCTGGCCCCGCTGGTGGACCTCCTGATGGCCCCTGGGTTTTGGCCACTGCATGACACAGAGTGTTGGGCTGGATGGGCCATTGACCTGATCCAACATGGCTTCTCTTATGTCTGGGGCAGTGATGCTCTGTATTCTTGGTGCTTGGGGGGCAAGAGTGGGAGGACTTCTGGAGTCCTGGCCCCGCTAGTGGACCTCCTGATGGCCCCTGCCTTTAGGCCACTGTGTGGCACAGAGTGTTGGACTGGATGGGCCATTGGCCTGATCCAACATTGGCGTCTCTTATGTTCTTATGTCTGGGGCAGTGATGCTCTGTCTTCTTGGTGCTTGGGGGGGGGGCAACTGTGGGAGGTCTTCTGGAGTTCTGGCCCCGCTGGTGGACCTCCTGATGGCACCTAGTTTTTGACCACTGCATGAAACAGAGTGTTGGGCTTTATGGGCCATTGGTCTGATCCAACATGGCTTCTCTTATGTCTGGGGCAGTGGTGCTCTGTATTCTTGGTGCTTGGGGGGGGCAAGAGTGGGAGGTCTTCTGAAGTTCTGGCCCCACTGGTGGACCTCCTGATGGCACCTGGTATTCATCATCGTGGCTTCTGTGCAGTCCCACATGGGATCTGCGCAGGCGCAGGCCAGCCACGGAAAAGATTTGCAAGCTTTCTAATAGACTAGGAGTGCCCCTCCTCCCTCTGGCGCTTTCCCCCTGGAGGCTGGCAACCCTAGAGCAGAGTTGTTTTTGTAAAAAAAAATCCCTGCTGTAAGTTCTCTGCATTTGCCCAGCGGCTCTCAGGGTCTCAGGCTGAGGTCTTCCGCATCCCCTACGACTTGATCTTCCAAATGAGAGATGCCGGGGATTGAACCTGGGAACTTCTGCACACCAAGCAGATGCTCTGCCACTGAGCTACAGCCCCTCCCCTGTTGGTGGACCAATAGCCTGTCTGTGATTTAAGGAGCTTTGCAGGTTTAGATCTCTTATCGAGCACTTTCAAGAAGCCTCCTGAAAGCCATCAACTGTGTATGAGCCTCTTTCTTCCTAAAGAGAAACGAAGAGTTCTTGTTTCAAAGCAGTCAAAAGGGCCGCACAGTAGAGCAACATATTCCACACGGACTCTTCCAGGAAAAACGGACACTCTTGATAATTACTTTTTGAACGGACGCCACTTTTCAAGGCATTTCCTTGAAATACATAAATAATACATACCGCGGCGCATGAGGTTATGCATCCATCAATCTGTCAACAGTTAAACCTTAAGTGCTGTATTTTGTTTCGGTCTCGCTGCCTGCCTTAGAATCCAGAAGCTTAACAATTAAGTCGGCCATTACATCATCTGGGTATTTTCAAAAATTACACGTTGGTCCAGTCTGTCCTTGTGTATGTCGAAAGAATCCGCTTGAAGCTAATCTTTTGGTTTAAAACTCAGCATTCACCTTTGCATATAAATATATAACATGTTAACGGATGCAATGCCCCGGCCAAGGGATGGTGGATCTTAACATGCTGAACCTCGCATGGAGCTACCTTACACTGAATCATAAGAACATAAGAGAAGCCAATGTTGGATCAGACCAAGGGCCCATCCAGTCCAACACTCTGAGTCACACAGTGGCCAGAAATACCTGGGGCCACCAGGGGTTCCAGCAGTGGGGCCAGGACACCAGAAGCCCTCTCACTGTTGCCTCCCCCCAAGCACCAAGAAGACAGAGCATCCCTTGCCCCAGACCGAGAGTTCCTATCTATACCTTGTGGCCTCCTGTGGCAGTGAATTCCATGTGTTAATCACTCTTTGGGTGAAGGAGGACTTCCTCTTATCCGTTCTAACCCAACTGCTCAGCCATTTCATTGAGTGCCCACAAGTTCTTGTATTGTGAGAAAGGGAGAAAAGTACTTTTTTCTCGACCTGCTCTCTCCCATGCATAATTGGTGGGATCTGAACTGGCAGGGACTGACTAAGAGAGAGATTGGAGTCGTAGTAGAAAACTCAATGAAAATGTCGAGACAGTCTGTTACTACAATTAAAAAAGGCCAACGCTATGCTGGGGATTATTAGGAAGGGAATTGAAAACAAATCAGCCAGTATCATAATGCCCCTGTATAAATCGATGGTACGTCCTCATTTGGAGTACTGTGTACAGTTCTGCTCACCGCACCTCAAAAAGGATATTATAGCATTGGAAAAAGTGCAGAAAAGGGCAACTCGAATGATAAAAGGGTTGGAACACTTTCCCTATGAAGAAAGGTTAAGGCATTTGGGGCTCTTTAACTTGGAGAAGCGATGGCTGAGGGGTGACATGATCGAGGGTTACAAGATTATGCATGGGATAGAGCAGGTCAAGAAAGGAGTCCTTTTCTCCCTTTCTCACAATACAAGAACTCGTGGGCACTCCATGAAATTGCTGAGCGGTTGGGTTAGAACAGATAAAAGGAAGTCCTTCTTTACCCAAACAGTGATTAACACATGGAATTCACTGCCACAGGAGGTGGCGGCGGCTACAAGCATGGACGGCTTCAAGAGGGAACTGGATAAAGATATGGAGCAGAGGTCCATCAGTGGCTATTCGCCACAAGGTATAGATAGGAACTCTCGGTCTGGGGCAAGTGATGCTCTGTCTTCAGATTGGCAGCGGTTCCTCAGGGTCTCAGTCTGAGGTCTTTCACATCACCTATTTCCTGGTCGTTTTAGCTGGAGGTGCCGGGGTTTGAACCTGGGACCTTCTGCACGCCAAGCAGAGGCTCTACCACCGAGCATCTACGGCTGAGCTGCAGCCCCTCCCCCTCTGGCTTGCTTTGTTTGTATGTCATAAATTGGGCAGACTTCATGAGCTGGTGCCGTCTGCCTGACTTGTCCATCGCTAATTCTGGGCGCTGTCGACATTTCCAGCGTGAGTCGATTCCCTGCAGCATTCGCTGGCTTAGCTTTAAAAAAACCAAAATGAGCCGAAAATGCGGCCACTTCAGCAACTGCGGTTATTAAGCCGTTCCTTTCCCGAAGGCCCTCCAGTGTGCCATGGCACCTTACTCTGTTTTTAATCACTGCATGCTGGTTTTCCGCTTCTCTGCCTGAAATGCAAGACTTGTATTTAGAGGTTCCTGTTCAGAATCCTTGACCCCCTGGTTAAGAACCAAAGCACATTTGGAATACCGCGTGACATTCTGGCCCCCATATCTCAGAGAGGACATTGCAGAGCTGGATAAAATGCAGAGGAGGGCAGCCAAGATGATGAGGAGGCCGGAGCCCCTTCCCTGTGAGGAAAGGCTGAAGAGTCTGGGACTTTTCCATTTAGAAAAGAGGGGGGCAGGGGGCATGATAGAGGTTCATCAAGTCATGCATGGGGTGCAGAGAGTTGACCACTTCTTCTCCCGCTCCCAAAACTCTAGAACTCGAGGCCATCCGATGAAGCTTTTTTTCCTCTCCTGCTTGCCCATTGTTGGTGGGCAAGGTTTATTAGTTTTTTAAAGAGTTATATAAAACAAAAAAAAGAGAGCCGTACACTTCAAATGTATCCAGCCATTGCCTCGTTCATAACATCTTTAGAGACGTAATTCCCTTTTTCCCTTTGTTAATCCATAGTCCACAACAGATGACATTAAGTAAAATTCCCAATAAACAATTCATCTATATATCTAATAGCGAAGTTGCCCCCGGAGTGCGGATCGCTAAATCAGCGTTCCGAGGGGACTTGGGGGGGAGGGGGAGGTTTGTGCACACGTGGGCCAGTCCCCACGTGTGCACAAAAATGCTAAAAGTAGAAAAAAAATTCGGGGGGATGTTTAAATCCCCCCGAAAGTGCAAGAGCGTTCCGTGCGCATGTGCGGTATTAGCTGACCTCGCCGCCGCCTCCTCGGAGGCGGGCGAGGCGAGGACCGGCCTTGCCGCCGCCGCCGA